TGAGAGTCAGTAAAGAACGTCTTGACTTTGCTTTTTTTGTGTGTGTGAGAAGTATGAATAAACGTGAAAGAAATGGAAAACTGTGGTCTAACAGGAAAATTAATTCAAATGATATAGGGACATTTTTTTAAACCTTAAAAATGCCGTTTTCTTATTGCACCGACGATACACTGAAAAACAACTCAGTTTCTAGTCGAACTTTTTCTGCACTAAAGAAACTTTCAAGAACATTTAAGACAGTTTTCAGGTTCAAATTGCGAGAAAAGGAATGTTCATCCTCCGCCGCAAAAATAGACATTCTTAAAAAACAAGTGTACGCGCATAAAAGATAAAAATCGAATCTATTGGAACTTACAAAAGAAATTAAGTAATAATCTGATGAAGTTGTGCACGACATCATGCGAAAATCGAATTCAATAATTGTTTCATGATATATTTTTTTCCTCTCTGAGTTTACAAACGTTTCAGCACACTACTCGGATGAGGGGCTTGGAGACCAGGCAGACTTTGAACTCGGTATTATAAATGCAATATCCGCTGCAGATATTGCATTTATCATGTCGAGTTCACACGCTGTTTAATATTGATTGAATTCTGTCGACCAATCAGATTTTTCATAGTAATTGTAATGTATAATGTTAGTGATTGTATACATTGAAGCACCTAAGAACGGTGGTAACCAAGAAGCTGGCCTACAGAAGGTGGTTATTGGGCAAATTTCCAAAAAATCTCGAAATTAAGTTCTTATGATATTGAAAGGCCGGGAAAAGACAACTCTTACAAGCACAGTGTCTTCAAGCACCCATACCAACGTGATGATCTCTCCCACATATAGAGACAAAATATTGCTTTATTGAAAACTCAAGGTGTTGAAATCGATTCTGTAGGAACTGGTTCGCAAACATTCTGGTTTATCACAAATAATATATGAACATGAAATTCAAAACGTTGCATATCCTCGGGAATTGAAATATGCACTTGTATACAAAATTGTCATTCCCTTCGAGAATTGATTGTGAAAAGAACTGAAAAAGGATTAGGAAGCAAGAAACGGGTGGGTTTTTCCCCCCACTGGTGCCACAATCTATCTGTCACATTTATAAAAAGAAAACTTATCATATAAAATTAAAACAAACAAAATAATGAAACTGAAATTTTGGAAAACGAAAAGGGAGGGATCGAGAAGGATCGACATGTACGGGCTATCAAGAATTGTCTCACAATTTGCGAAGAGTTCGTCCATGGATACAGTTATTATGAATCTTGCTTAGAATTCCGGCCTCTGGCCATTGACGTGATTGAGTGTTACCCCTCTTTCTTCTGCTTCTTCGTAAAATTAAGCAAGTAACGGATCTCATCCCAGTTGCCCTAACCGCCAAGCGAATATTTGTATTAGTACTCCCCCTTGGGTGGGTAGCTAATCCATCGTAAGGTTACCCCCCCCCCCACCATTTCATCAAGCTTCCCAGTCAATTCTTCTGAACAGGAGCTGCAGCCATTAACCAAGACAGGATTTCTCCTTACAATATCAATACAATATCATGCAGACAAGTGATGAGAATAAATAAAAATATCAATCAGGGGATCATAAGTTGATCCAAGACCTAATTCTTCACGCTAACATTACAAGAATTGTATGGCAGACAGTAAGGAGAATTACTATTGAGATCTTGGTAGTAAAAGGGTTAAATTACTACAGAGGTACTATGAAAAGACCCGGCCAGGTCTTGCATCCGACACAGAGTCAAGTGTGCGCATGCACTGACCACTATGCCACTGCGCGTGTCTCCCACAATTTTGAGCAATTTCGAGCACTAAAATTAGAATAGCTAACTCCGTCTTTTGGCCTTTCAGAGACTCCCGTCACTAAGGTTGAACCCTCTGACGACATTTGAGGACGGCGAGGTTAAAGAGTTGTTGTTTTGTTTTTGTCCTTAATGACGGCGTCTGTTGTTGAATTCTATTTCATGTGAAGAGAATTTCGGGAGGTCATATATTTCTTTGGGAAATCAAGTAAAGCAGTGAGTGATATATTTTTATTTACGCAATTTGATAGTAAAAACAAATAATTTAGATTCTGGAGCAGACTTTCCCTCTTAATGTTTGTTTAAACTTGACTGCTGGGAATCAGCATAATAGCCGAATACTTAAACATCAATTCTCACACTCTTTCTGTGTGGGATCCTTGTATCCTGCAAGTGCAATCTGTTTCCTGTGGCCTTAATGGCACATCATCTATATCTGAATTGTACATCATTATTCAACTTTATGGGAAAAAAAATCAAACATGAAAAATTCCCTTTTTCAGTTTAGTCATCAAGGACTCTCCCGTCTTCTGGCTTATCAGGATATATTCGTCGAACAAATTCGTTGTAAGGCCTGGAAATACGTGTTGAAATATGGAAAGTGACCTTGGAAAAATTTATCTGATTAGAATTTCATTTGGAAGATATTACCTTAAATTACTTTGGCTAATTACATCTTTTTTCAGACATGAAAAATTCATCAGAACACAAATGTGTGCCACGATCTCGAACTTTCCTGTACTAAAATAGAATAAGTGGGAGATAATTTTAATATTATAATCAGAATCTACTCTTTCATCGAGTTCTGTCCGAAGATAAAATTTTGAGTGGCGCTTTTTGCGGGCTGCAAAACCTCTTTCAACTCCAAGGTAACTGATTTAGTTTCTTGTTTACTTTAAGGCAAACCTTGAATTTACAATTTATAGATTTCCAGGCCAAAATCGTTATTTTGACGTATTGTCATGTATAGTGCTATATTTTTTGCTTCGTATGTAATTCACTCTACTCCAGGGTCAGAGCAAAAGTTTTAATAGCTGGATTCTACATGAAGAGATCTTGAAAACTCTGCAAACCTGTCAGTCCCTCTGTCGTAGATACATCTATGGTAATTTTGACATTGAAATTTGCTCAGTGAGGTGAGATGACGTCTCTTCTGTTCTTTGAGCCAAATGCAAAACACTGACAGACAAGAAGAAGAAAACACTCTTTCTAGAGCACAATACAGCTTCTGGCATAAGGTTAGACTGATCGAACTTTGTTGAATGATTCAATTTCATAATATCAAAATCTAATTTTCATTTTTAAAGTCACAGTTGAGAGATCAGTTTTTACATCCGATTTCCTTTGTGTAATACGCAAAACGAAGACCAAACAACGTTTCAACTCCACTATGATAACATAAACATAGAGAAGTTGAATTAGTTTAAAAGACAGAAGCTGAATAAGTATATAAGTTTGCTCGCCCAGGGAATTCATCTATTCGAAATCCGCCTCACAGGTTCATTTATTTTGGTTTCAGTATCAATTTTCTTTGATATTAATGTCCTGGTGTTTCACTTTCCTGCCTACCACTCAGCTCCCTCAGAAACTGATCACTTTCGACCAAATTGTAGTTTAAGGTATATATTTCCATGTTTGTATCGATTTTAACGGAAAAGGTTAAAAAGGCATACTGATTTCCCTATGATTTCGTGAAGAGGGTAGCTATTTTCGAAAATGGAAATGCTACAAAAAAGCCGCAATTTTCGATACGTGATCGCAATTCTTGAAAAAATTGAACAGTCGTTAATGAAATAGTGACAAATTTTGGTTATCTGATGTTCGGAGCAACGTCACTTTGAAATCATTAAGGAATTTTACGGCCACTTCGAGTTTGATTGGTTTTTTTATCGGCTCTATCTACGGTGTATTTCAAAATGGCATATTTTGAATGGTTTATTGACAGCTCGACGAGTAAATACACTTTTTCTCGTCACTTTGATGAAAGAATCTTGATCGACACGTCTTTGGGAGTTTGGTTGCAAATTGGCTATTAGCTGAAGTGGACGTAAATATCCCGAATTGTCTCATCTGTTCCCTCATTTTTGGTAGAGATGAAACGCATATTCAGAGATAATTTTATTGAAACACGTGAGTCGTCGAAATTAAATTTTAAGTAATTGACGTTTCTTTAAAAAGATGTCTGTTTCTATATAACAAACTTAAAGTTCGAAAAAATAATATTTATCCGACTTGCGCATCTTTTTTATCGCCTCTACTGAATCACCGGTAAGTTCGATCACATACATTTTTCAGACGGCTTTTTTTGTCGCTTAAACTTATTAACAAACCAATAAGTCCATTTGCGCAAATCATTTGTATAATAACATTACGTGCTCTGTATATTTGCCAACTGCTAACCACTCGTCTTAACAAGAAGTGAATCCAGCTGCGATTTGTATCAGTTAACCAGGTTGCAAAAGTAAGAAGATCTATCGCGCTGTGAGTCCTCTTCTAGGCTTTACATATCCTTATTCTTTGCAATACAACTACGTGATATCAGCAAATTATGCGTATTTTCAGAAAATAAAACCTGACGGAAAATTATTCACACATTTTTTAAAATTAAAGCTTTTTTCACACGTTGCGAAGGCGAGTAGCGAATTTGGTGCTGTTCGACAAGCTAATGTGTGGAGGCTCTCGCGGAACCTTCCATATAAGACAGTTTTAAGAACCTCTTCAACCTAGTTTGGTTTCCAGAATCCTTCAGAGTGTTCGTATGAGAAGGTGGCAAGGGCAGGCTTGATTACCAACCGCTGTTCTGGAAATGAGCCCGCGTTTTCCTTCGTATCGTTCCTTCTCGGAAAGATCGAAGAAGAGACTCAAGAAAACCGGCGGAAACCAAACTTAGGGGGACTAACGCAATTAAGCATCAGTTATCGTTACACAACCAGTTATCAGTTATCGTAACACTAATCTCTGACGTTTGTTTTTTCGTCAAGAGATGATTTAAGAAGATTGTTCAAACTGGTAATTGAGTTGAATCTGGTTAGTTATAATGAAAGAGGAGTAATTAGTTGTGAGCAGCTTACTCGTTGTTAACCATTTTTCTAATAATCAATCAACTTGTAACTCAAAACTCTCGATAGCATTTGTCGACGTGCTCCTAAAATGTGATTTTGGGATTAAACCCTCGAGTGCTTCTAAAGCAGCGACACGCAGATCTTCCATCCTCCACAGGTATAAGATGGGATTGCAGGCGGAGTTCATAAGTATAAGAGTCATTGTCAATTTCGTGGCCATTTTCAAAATCTCGGTATTCCCGTAGATGGTTCGTAATAAAATCACCATCCACGCGGGAACGTATGCAATCAACAGCGCACAGAAAACGAATAACATGCTGTTGACTGATTTCTTGTATCTGGATATTTTAAGGATGTTGGCTCGACGCACAGATTCCAGCTGCGTTTCGTTTTGATATGTCCTTTTCTGTCGTCGAAGGATACGATGGATTTTGATAAAGGCAAGGGAGGAGATCAATAAACACCATGGCATAATCGATAATATTAACATGAAGTAAACTTCAGAAAACCAGATGTATGATAGAGACCATGGCAAGGCAACCAGTCTAACGAGAACGACAACAAGAATCGAGCGCTTGAGCGTAACAACAATTCGATAGCGTAGCTTTAGATGTAACGCCAGGAACTTATCGACGCTAATAAACATCATTGTAAAGAAGGAAGTGATCGAGAGATGACCAGACAACAGATCGAAGAGTAAACCAAGGAAACATTTTGTGTCTTTGTCGGAGGAGAGACTCTTCACGATGTACAATGGTTGCGCGAGCAGCCCCACACCTAAATCTGTTAAGGCCAGACTACCCAGAAGTACTTTAGAAGGCGGAGCAATTGAAGCTGTCCTAAACAAAGATATCAAGATTAAAGTGTTCCCCATGATTGCAAGGATGGCAGATACAATACTGACAATCGATGTGGGAAGATCTAAAAACGAGGAACCAGTTTGCAATACTACAAACTTAAACATGCAGGTTAATTGAAGCGTAGCTGCTGGAGAGGCCGCATTGTGTTCGTTTAACGAAGTTACATTTTCCATGTCGATGATGGAAGCTTATATTTACGATGAAAATTCGTCGGAAAGAAACCAGATATTTACGTCTTGTAGCGGCCTCTCGGCTTAATAGTTTAAAAGGAGACAAAAGAACTTTGACGGTTCGAACAAAATGATTCTGTTCTGGATTCACCTCGTTTGAATATAAGTTATAGCCGAATTGGATGAAATTCTTCCTTGTAATATATGTTTGAATAAACAAGAGGAAAGCTTCGTAGTCTCAAAATTAATTTACAAATGAAAAGAGAGCGCTTGCAGCTGCCACCTGAACAAACACACCGCAACTGGAAACGCAAAAAGTCGAAACATTTCCTAAGTTGAATGTGTTTATTTGAAACTAGGAAGTCGATCTCTCGATCCGGCGTCGAAAACTTTTCTTTGAGGAAAAGACCTATAAAATGTTCAACTGCCAATTGCCTATCCCTTTTTTCAATTGGCCAGTGAAATGGCAAGGTTTTTATTAATTTTACACTCTCTGTGCACGTTGAAGCTTATGATGGAAAGGGGGGTTATTAGTTTTAAGACAAGCAGGATTTTTCGGAAAATGTATCAAACTTAACTTACAAAATTTGCTGTAAAATTACTTTCTCAGTAATTTCACCCTTTTTTATGTTCATGTTCGTCTAATAAGAAAAAAACCCGTATACTGGCCAGCTCACCATAAAGAAAACAGTGGTGGACTGTTGAACAAACATTAAATGTGAAATGAACAAATAAACTCGAGTACTTTGTTTTATACTAGGAAATTAAAAAGCCCAAAATCATTTATGAAAAAGGGTTGTTGTGTTTATACTTTTATTCATTTATTTACTCATTTGTGTCGTTTATTTGCCCATAGTATCTTTTGGCCGTTTCTTAATCTTTCCCGACCGTTGTGCTTGATCTTGTGGAAATAAATTCCAGGTTACCTGGTTTCCGCCAGAGTTTCAACGTTACATTAAAACTTAGTGCCGGTAAAGGAACATCCGCAGGAGATGAAAAAGGGTCCCCTGAAGGAAACTGCCCTTTAGTTTAAGACCTTATGAGAGTGTCCCCAAAATGGCCCTCTACCCTAAATATATGTTTCTCTCTCCTTAATTGGAGGAAAGCTGTTATTTATGCATCTATTTAAAGCTTATTTGTAATCAATTTTTGTTCTTCTTGCACAAAGCAACTGGCGTTGCTACGGATACCGTATTTTCATAGGTCTTGGTCTGCGAAAATTCGTGCGTATTTTTTCTTGTAATTATGCATCTTTGTGACGTACTTGACGTTTTACTGTTTCACTTGGATTAGTTTCCTCTGCCATAAAGGCTCAGTTCAAACGTCAAACTTCACATGACACGCACTAAACTGAGAGAATTAGGTTCACGTTTGATTCAGTAGAGTTCGTCCAACTGAATTTGGATCGACCAATACGTTCTGTCTGTCTGCTTCGGACGGATAGAACACGTGAAGATCACATCTGTGGGACAACCGTCAATCTGTTCATGAATCGAACCTAATGAATAAATTACAAATGCTTTATGTGAAATCCCGCTGACCTAAAGATTCGTTTTTGCTGTTCTGAACTTGGTTCGACGATTTATGTTCGACGTTTGATCCAACGGTCGAACTTTGCCCGTTGGGGCTGACCAAAATCGTAAGTTAGTTCGTCTCATTTGAAGTTCGACGTTTGAACTGGGCTTAAGCCAACTCCGCTCACTGAGTGTTAAATTATTCATATGAATTTTTTTTTTCTTTTTATGCCATAGGGCATTACTCATCCGTTCTGGCAATACATTTCTTTAAGGCAAAGAACGAGACCACATTTGAACTGATTGAAAAGGTAAGCGTTCTTATAATTTGTTCATTAACCTAAAACTCGCTCGCCAATTAAAGTTGTGAACAACAATAACATCAAAAAGTACCTGTGTAAAGCAATAATCTGATAATGTTTTGGGCAAAGGTCTGACAGAGCTAAACTTGCCCTTGTGAAGACCGTTTTCGAAGGACTGCAAAGCTGTCATAATCATGATAAAAACAAGTTTTCTTCAGTATAAAACCTTGTATTCAAATTAGTTTTATCTGAGGTAAGGAATTTTTGACGACTAGGACCCAAGACAACCTTTAGCAAATGAGTTTTTTCCCTTTTTCCCCACAAGGAATTAATAAGTCGAAAACCGACACTTACATAAGGAGATCTCGAAAAAAAATTACCACAACCGATCTACAATTAAAAGTTGTTTAAGCGACACACCTGAGCCGAGGGTAGTCCCTGGAAAAACTTGTTGTGAAAATTGTGTCACATTATGGTGACTGAACGCTAACTAGCATATTATGGGTCGCAATATTCCAAAAATATGAATTTTATGTGAAGGGTAATTTAAATTCAAAATATCAGTGTTACATGACGTAAATAATTTATTGGGACTGCTTCCACATCTCTTCGATTACTTTTTTTTAACGAAAAATTAGCCTTGGTTTCAGTCTTTCGTATTGGCCGTAAAATCGCTCATTACCTGATTTTAGACATGAAACTATCACTTGGTTATTTCAATTGCGTTGTACTGCGCGGGAGATCTAAGGTTCGAGGTCAAAATAAACACTGGGGGCCGTAAAACAGTCTAACTTACCGAAATCCAACATAGGCTGTGGTTTAAAAAAAATAATAGACAACGCCAGTTCTTCACAAGTGGCTTGTTTGAAGTAAAAAATTATAATGTTTTGTGTAAGCTGTAAACCACCTTAACTGGTCACAAAAATTAACACTCAGATAAAACGTTTGGCCAAATTTAAGATTGCTTCGAGCGTAATTTTACTTAACAATGGGACACGTTGCTTTAGATACCATCTGAAAAGGTATTAACAAAAACAACAACAGGGGAGAGAGGAAAAACAAGCCAAACTCTCTAGGATTCTCAAATGGCGACCGTAAGCCAAAGTCCCGTTTCCACGTTCTCATTTTATTTTGGTAAGAACCATTTTGTTGCAGAATTTCAGCAGACATAAACAAGCATTGCTATGTTTTTTTTAATAAGTTTCAGGGACTTTCAGTTTAGTAAAACGATCGTGGGACTCGGGTTGAGAGAACAACTTTCTTAAAATGTACGTGTTTGAGTACGAATACTCGTTTCCTTTGCGTTGATTAAATAATGGCTTTCACTAAAGACAAAAATTTCATTAATACTTCCATTATGACATGGCCTATTACTATTCAGGTTAAGACAATTTTTTGCCAGATGGTTTCTTGCCAAAGCTGGTGGCTTCCATTCTTTACAAGCTTAATTTTTGTGGCAATATTTTTAATTGTTGTTCTTGGGAAAAAATGTCAAGGCTGCCCAAATATTGTCTCATTGGCTCTTCACAATCTTCACAATCTTACCGGATGGCACTTCAAAACATATTATTATAATTGAAGTTTTTTCATTGCAAGAATAGTTTTGCCTAATTTAAGGTGAGTCGGGGATGTTTACATGTAATTCCTAATAACGCCATATAAATAAATATATATATATATATAGTGTTTCATTTACGATAGATGTTTTCCATTGATGCCACAACCGAACTTTCGATTATACGTGGCCATGCAATTTAAGAATAACATAATTAATGTGGTTTAAGAAACAGCTTCTCAACTCACATGGGCGGTTTTTCATGAAACTTTTTTAGCCGCGATCTAATTATCGTTTTTCACTAACTTATCTTTAGAACCATTAATTTATGATTGATTTATCGACACGCTTCACTCAGAAAGCCTGCGAAAAGGGATTCCATGCAAACAAAGACAAGGATATCCCGGTAACATAGTTTTCCTAGAACTGTTTGATAATTGTTATTCGTATGGTGAGTTGGTATAAGACAATTGTTACCTGGATTTTGGTATCGTTAACGAAACGAAACAACGAAAATAATTGTTGATGACCCTCCTGTGGCCCAGAGAAAGATCTCCTTTCCTTGCTGCTTTGAACCATGGAACACCATGTTGGTTCCTAGCAATCCAAGTTCATTAGTGCGAAGATCACTCTCATATTCATTTATTAATCCGCAGTTTCAATATGCGACATCCAAAAAAATATTACAGTCGTTCATTCATCCCTAAACACGGGTTTATTGCGAACCAACAAAATGACCAGCTCCAAGTTGGCTTGTTAGCTCAGTTCGTAGAGCACTGCACCGATATTACAGAGGTCATGGGTTCAACTCCCGCACAAGCCTATATTTTTGTGGGGCATTGTTCTCACTACCGCTTACATAGTGCTCATCACTGCGAAGATCACTCTCATCTTCTTTTGTTAATCCGCCGTTCAAATATATAACATTCACAGATTTTATATGACTACATTCTTGGAATTATTGCCTTTTTTTCTTAATTCCTAATCGGATCCAGCGACGATTTTGCTAAAATAGATATGAAGAGATATACAATTTAATAACTGCAAGGGACGATCTCTCAGAATGAAATCACTGGAATTTACACGATCATAAGAAATACTGTGGCTTAACGTTTCCTTGGGGAAAGGACGGACGCCCTATCTAAACTGGACTGCGAGCACTCCCTCTTTTTCAGCGAAGGCCGTCGTGGAGTCTAAAAAAAAAAATTAGCGAAAAAACCAAATGGCGACTAGTGCGCCGAGCAAACACTGGGAGTAAGGTATCACTCACAAAGTTCTTCACAGCGCGCTAACAATTTTTTGTTTCTGATTTTTTTTTAAACTTGTGCGACGAATTTCGCAGAAAAGGAGGGTTTTATCGTAATCTATATCTAAATTGATGCGTTTTTGTCCGGAAAGGCATACTTTCAGATTTGTTTTTGGCCCTCACTTAGACTGAAACACCCGAAAACAAAGCCTTTCGTCAACAGTTAC